CTAGGTTATCTGTTATATATTTAGAAGGCTATATCTCAGTAGGATTGCACTTTTGTATATAGGTAAGTTAGGCTAAATAGTCTTGTTTTCATCCAAGGAACCTGTGGTCAAGCGTTGTCCATCCTTTTCAGGGACACCCTGTACATCTTTATATCACAGAAAAAACAGTGATTTCCGAAAGATTACTATTTAAGTAAAATCTTCGGAATAGTTCAACCTAAAATTCTCAAATTGGGATGATAAACGAACAACAGAGTTATAACAATTGTGTAATTTTTTTCAAATATTTTTGCTATTTAATTTTTGAGATAAACGCGTTCAAAGTAAGGGCTCAATATTTTTGCATCCCATAGTAGAGAAGTAAATTTATTTCAAGTTTAAGGTATATCAAAGCACAACACCTGTAATATACATTTGAAAAGAGGATATGTAAAATTTTGACTTTTATATTTTTGTGTTAAATTTGTGGAAAATCACAGACGGTAATACTTTACCCAGAAATATTTTTCCTAGATATATATGTACATACGTAATCATTTTTTAATTTCAAAGTTGTTATTTAGAATATCACAACCTTAAGACATAAGTGTAACATAACATAACATAACTTGGACATAAGTCCAAGGCAAATGCGAAATATATAAGAATAATTGTAATTATAATGAATCAGTGTACTGAGAAATAAATTTGGAACAAGTTTATTATAAGCAACAATCTCTCAAAGTCGGATCTTTTTTTCAAATTTAACGAGGCCTGCAATTTAAAAAATATTATTCTTCGTATAATTTTTTAAAGAATTATTCCCACGAAATGGACTACTAAATGCTACACTTCAAATGCTTCGTAAGAAAGTAAAACAGAAAAGTAAAATGAATACCAATAAAATAAAATAATAGACTTACTATTACATCACATAAATTAATAAAACATACATGGTTAGATAACTTCACTCTACGCATTTCATGGTGATGTTTAACTTAAATATTAATCCAAAACGCAAAAAAATTACCTAATTTAAGAGCAACTCCAGTTGAGGTAGATACTGATATGTCGTTTTAAATATGGGAATAGAGTATAAAGACGGGATATTTAAAAACCTAAACGTGGATAGATTGCAAATAACAGAATATAGAAAGAAATATTACGGCAATATTTATTACATTAGTATTCCATTTGCAAGAGTAACAAAGCCGAGAGCATACTCTCCATAGGTGAAGGTTGGTTACATAAAATCTGTGCGTTATATGTACAGGGTTTTATGTCTAAGTAAAAAAATAGTAATGGCCAAAGTTCCAGGAAATTTTCTTCTTTTCAAAAAAAATATGTGAAAATACATACATAGATATAAATAAACATGTTTCTTTCAACTAGAACAACCTCTCTCTTTTCCGATTACAGGGATATGCATACCATGTATATGCTTCGATTATCTGCACATTATTTTGTTTTATTTACTAACCCCGCACAATGCATAAAGTCAAGACTGCTATGGAATTCTTGCATATTTATGCATCATCTTCCAATTGTTTCTTTGAGACCGCAAGAAAATTTCCTAAAACTCTCGTCCTTACAATTTTTCCCAATGCAGAGGGTCAAAAGAGATAAATAGAGTAGGATGTTATGTGAATAATACTGTACGATTTACATAATAATCTACCCCCTTACATTTTTAACCTATCTGTCTAGGAAAAAATGGTTGTAGGAAATTTTGTTGCGATATTAAAGAAATGTACGAGAAAAAACAATTGTTTCGTTTCGAAAATATAAAAATCAAACTTTTAAAATGAATCACCCTGTATATTAGTTACTTATTGGAATCATCACCTTTTTCTAACTACAGTAAGACATACATGGATATATTTGCTTTGACAACTTGCACAATATTTTGGTTTATTTACTGACCCTCCTCAATGGACAAAATCAAGATTGCCATGAAAACAGTGCATATTTCCGCTATTATATTTACTAAAAAGATAGTCAAATACTTTACTAAGAAAAAATACTATATTGTAAACGGTGTTTTATAATCTCATCGAAAAATTTTTTTAAATAAATTTTGCTTATGAAGAGATAATTTTACGATAGGCAAGACCAAGTTGATCTCAATTTAGTTCTTTGTCTAGAACAGGATGAAGGTATTATGAAGCACCATATAGAGAATTAAAGATTTGTTTAGTAAATTAAACAGCGGAAAATATATGCACGCAGTGATTCCATGGCAATCTTGACTATGTGCAGAATCTATAAATATCTGAGCTAACTACTACAAATTGTCAAATTATCAAATTAAAGATATGACGTGTTTGTATCATTGTAATCAGAAAAAAGGGAGGAATAGAAAAAACGACAAATACATAGGGTGTTCCATTTTGGTTTATACCCGAAATGAAAAGCAATTTGTTTTTTTTATGTGTATTGTTTTAAAATCCGGAGAAAATTTCCTAAAACATTCATCTTTAGCATTTTTTCGCAAATAGGAAGGTAAAAAACATAAGGCAGGTAGAATGTTATGACCCTGTACAGTACATATGGCATATTTTCTTAAAATATAACATTTTTTTTGTTTTAACAAAAATGTAAGATTTTTCAATCATTATACCAGTGAAAATAATATTTTTTTACAAACGTCAAAAAACGACAAGATTTGCGCATTGACAACAATATGCGAAGTGACACTTTTTTCGGATTCTTACGTTACCATGACACCGTGCGTGAAATACTTCGCGCACTAGGGTGCGAAGTATTTCGCACACTGCATGTAAATTAATAAGAGTTTTGTATTTCAATCTTTGAAAAAATGAAGCAAAACTCCAAATTATTGTTTATTTTTAAATGAATAACAATTAAATACTTTTAAAATAATGATAGAATTTTACAATAACTAGTTATTATTTACAATAGCCAAATCTATAATAAATTAGGCATTTTACTTATTTATAATATTTCTAAGAGATAGATTTTGACATTTGTAGAAAAAATATTGTTTGCATCTCGTGCCAAATTAGGTGGGGTGCTACTTAGTTCATCGTCACTAGCAATTTCCATTATTTTAAATAATATCTGGCACTTAAAAATTGAAGACGCGAGCACAAACGTCACTTTAAAATAATTATTATTGTTGTCAACAACAGCCACTTTGTTTCCATAGTAACAGTGAAAATTTTATTAGGAAAGACATTTTAAGCCAGCTCAACACTATTTTCTATAATAAATTAGTCATTTTACTTATTTATAATATTTTTAAGAGAAAGATTTTGACGTTTGTAGAAAAAATATTGTTTGCATCTCGTGCGCGAACTACTTTGGTGGTCTCGAATAATTTTTTAACTCGGCTGCACCTCGTTAAAAAATTCAATTCTCGATCACCAAAGTAGCATTTCGCGCACTAGATACAAAAATAACTATTAAGTAATAAAATTTTTACAGAAATTAAAAAAATATATATTTTCAAAAAATAACGCTATTCGATGTTTTACAGAAGCCTCTCCCTTTGCCCCCCTGGGGGGGGGGGCAGGGGCGTCGGGCATACTTTTCAGTGTCAGAATCGAAATCCCCGACCCCAAAAACCCCTGAGTGGAAATTTAGAAGGCAATTACTCAGCTATTCGATTTTTTACAGAAGGCCCCCCCCTTGCCCCCCTGGGGGGCCCCAGGGCCGTCGGGCATATTTTTCAAGGTCAGATTCGGAATCTCCGACCCCGAAAACCCGTGCACACAAATTTCTACAACTATTAGTCAATTTTTACCATTTTTAGAAAATTCGGAAAAATTGATGCACTCCAAGATGCAGTTTATGCACCCGCAGTGCAGTTTCGATCCAGCCCCAAAGTGTAATAGATAGACCGTTTTCCTGATATTTTTCCGAAGACAATGCCGAAAACCGCAACTCGATCGGTTCATCAGAAAAAAATTTCCGTATTCTGGGTGATTTTGGTCTAACTTGCCTGGACCATTAGATCTACAAAAAGAGGTCAATTGCGAAGACCACTGTTAACATCTAAAACTTCATAGCAATAAGTAATTATCAAATTACCAACACTTTGACATTAATGCTTTCTACTGAATATAGTGCTACATGGAATGGTATTAAATATGAAATAAACTGAAGTTGTTGTCATGCACAAGATTAATCACGAGACTGAATTAACATCTAGTAGCATGGGTAATTCCAATTCAAGAACAAATGAACTTCCTACGTAAACCAGATGACATGATTTTGATACTGTCAACATTGGGGAAATTTTAATTAGTACACAAGGACCAAGTCAAAAGTTAATAAAAACTAATTTTGTACAGAATTCCATGAATGTATTCTAATAAAATTTCCGTAGATTTTTTTATTGGTCACCGATCGAATTGCTAAGAAAATAATAAATACCCAAGTATCTGTCACGTTAAATTTTTTATTTCGGCGGTATAAAGGATCCTATATTTAGGTATCCCTTTCGGTTATCAAAACAAACATGGTTTTTTTTGCAAGCAGTGTATGATTATGACCACGTACATACACAAAACAAAGAGCTAGTGCAGAATTGGTATAAATGACCATTTGTAAACTAACCAGGTTGTTCACCTTTAGCGCAGTACTGCACGAACTAGAACCATAACTTTTTTAATCACTTTATACAAAATATTTGATTTTGATACACTTCAACAAATTAAATGTTAATGTTCCACTGAAATTTATTAAAAATTTCCTTTTGCCAAATGAAAATCGAGTTTTATACAATTAGTTTAAATCGTCAGTAGATTCAACAACTTAAGTAGAATTAAACATGTACATTTTAAATTTCTATATATTCTCATTCATCGGGCGCTCCAAATTTCGACGTGACTATGATTTCTAGACACTAATTACCCGCTGGTCGGTGCGGTGAAAATAACCAAGGCATTGCGAAAACAATAGACAAAGCTGGAGCACAACTTTGTTGAAAAAAATCTCTGCTTAACACTAGCCACTTAAAATACGTTCAAACAAGAACGACCTACAAAGATGTGTACCTGAAATAGTCACAGATGAAACTCGTAGCCGGTATCCGACAGGAAACGGAAAAAATCAAAGCACTAAGAACTGGTTCCACCGATAAATACCACACGGTAGGTACTGTCGACTAGCAAGGTAAAAATTGTGATTGCACGGAGCGCTACCATCGAGTTGGCGGCGATAGGTATGCTCAACAACTGATTGCTGGATTGCTCGGTGCACATTCGTCCACTTTACGATAGGCAATTGTTCGCCGGTTAACGTGGAGGGGTCAAGCCGTGGCCAACTTGGATGGTGCGTGTAAGTACCATCAGCGCGACCGGATTTAATTTATGGACATGGCCGGTTGAAATGCATCGGATGGATAGACGGAGATGCGGAGTTCGAGGCTAGGGGTCAGGAAGTGTGGACGTTTTTCAAAATTTTTCAAATGCGTCCGTCTGGTCCAGAGTAGACTAGGATGAGAGTCTCAAGGTCAGGGTGCGCCAGATGAAAACGCGAAGTCTCGTACCTAAAAGTTATCAGACTATCTGGGTCAAGCAATTAAGTTTTACGATAGGTATTTTAACATTTTGGGAGTGTAGTTGTCGATAAAAAAAAATGCGGAAGGTTTTGATCGCGAACGCGGTTTTAAGTCGAAAACATCCAAGATTCAATTAGGAAGATTTTTTTTCTAGATCATCTAGAGTGCCAAGCACTATTTTCGAAAAAAAACTCATAACAAATCCTAAACATATTATAAAAGCATTTAATAGCCTTTTTAGTAGCATGTACAGGCTGGTTCATTTTCGATGGGAATTCAGGGTATTTCAGAAACTACTAAAGATATGATAAATCTGACACGACGTTCTCGAGCTCGATTTTCATGGCAAACTCAAATCATCATTTGCCATCTTCATTTGTTTCAGAGTTACAGGGCATTTCTTGTTATTGTCACATTTCAGCTGTTAAATAGGTTAGAGTTAAAGTGAAAACTGCTCAAGACTAATTCTTTGGCGTAGAATTGAATGTCAGTATTAGATTTTTAATAGATTTTAAGATTTCGGAGTTATGACCCAAAGTTATATATTTTTAAATGGAAATCGTAGCTGACCATGGCCTAAAAAAATAGAGATTTTTTTTGCCTTTTAGCAATATATCACATACTATAGTTATTTTTACAAACACTGGAGACACGGGGTGTTTTATACAGGGTGATTCATTAACAATGGGAAAGTCGAAAGCTGAAGATACTACACATGAAATGATGACGATTGGCGCAAACATGCCTTATCCGAAAGTTAATAGTTTTGGAAATACAGGGTGTTGAAAGTTAAAATTTTAAATCGTTTTTTGCGATTATTCTGAAAATATGTAGGTTAGGAACTTGAAAATTTTGTGAAACTATATTTTTTAGGCGGCGAATAAGATGCGTGTTGTAATTTCAGCATTGCTCATAGAGGGCGCCACTTACGACCAATTTTACCGAAAATTTAGTTAATAACTTTTTACCCTGTATATTTAACATGAAACTTGACTCAAAACCTGAAAGAGCTATCATTTTTCCATTAATTATGTACTCTTGTTTCATTTCGGTATCTCGATCCGTTTTCGAGAAAAATCTATTTAACGAACACTATGTTTTGATAATATGAGAAATTAAAAGCGAAGTAAACCAGGTGTTTCTTGGTGTTATTACAACAATTAACAATAAAACAAATAAATTACGTAATTATGATTTAAAGTAATTGTTCGACGAATCCACCGTAGACACTGATACACTTTACACGTTTTCATCAGAGATCTTCGAGTTTGAAACAACATATTGGGATTGCGTCTGACTTCATTGGCAGCGATTTGTATTCTTTGCCACAACTCTTCACGCGTGAAGATTCTTTGTACACTATATCTTTAAGAGTAGTAGAGTAAGAGGATTGAAGTCCGAACTTCTGGATGGCCAAGCAAAAATGGTTACATGGCCAATCCAGCGATTTGGAAAAACTGCATCTAAATATGCACGCACTGGCCAGAAAAATACGGTGGAGCTCCGTCGTGCATGAACCACATGTCTCTTCTTAAATAAAGTCATGGAAGCATTTTTACTTGGCCACCCAGAAGTCCGGACTTAAATCCTCTTCATTTTTCTATTTGGAAGAATCTATTGGTTCGTGTGAAGAGTTGTGGCAAATAATACAAATCGCTGCCAACGAAGTCAAACACAATCCCAATATGTTGTTTCAAACTCGAAGATCTCTCAGAAAACGTTGTGTAAAGTGTGTAAATGTCAACGGTGGATTCTTCGAACACTGACTTTAAATCATTATTACGTATTTCATTTGCTTTATTGTTAATTGTTGTAATAACACGAAGAACACTTGGTTTGTTTCGCTTTTAATTTCTCGTATTATCAAAACATAGTGTTCGTTAAATCGATTTTCTCGAAAACGGATCGAGATACCGAATTGAAACAAGAGTACATAATTAATGGAAAAATGATAGCTCTTTCAGGTTTTGAGTCAAGTTTCATGTTAAATATACAGGGTAAAGAGTTATTAACTAAATTTTCGGTAAAATTGGTCGTAAGTGGAGCCCTCTATGAGCAATGCTGAAATTACAACACGCATCTTATTCGTCGCCTAAAAAAATATAGTTTCACAAATTTTCAAGTTCCTAACCTACATATTTTCAGAATAATCGCAAAAAAAACGATTTAAAATTTTAACTTTCAACACCCTGTATTTCCGAAACTATAAACTTTCGGATAAGACATGTTTGCGCCAATGGTCACCATTTCACATGTAGTATCTTTAGCTTTCGATTTTCCCATTGTTAATGAATTAACCTGTATATAAATTATATAAATGTATTTCCATTTTAATATGGCTGGCTATGAAAATACATGTAAAACTATAATTCCTACTTTTACAAAACTCATATCTGTCGTAAAAATATTACGTTTATTTAATGCACAACATATACTCGTATGAAAAGACTAACGAAAGTTTAGGTGATAGGTGGATAGGAACAAACGGACCGATCAGATGGCCATCTAGATTACGTGATTTGAGTCCATTGGAAGATATTATATTTAAAATTCCTTTTTACTTTATCGAGGAACTTCGACGACATGTTGAAAATTCTTTTAATAATATTTTTAATATACATTTAATGAATGCTACCTGAAGCGTTGCCAGAAGATGCGCGAAATGTGTGACAGTTGAGGGACGGCAATTTGAACATTTAAATGATGATGTAGGTACTTACTATTGTTTAATTTACGTTTAATATTGTAACTTCAGTTGAAGTGGAATAAAAATTTGAAAACTCTGTCTTTTCTTATCTGTAATATATATTTTAAATAAACGTCATATTTTTACAACAGATATGAGTTTTGTAAAAGAAAGAATTATAGTTTTGTATGTATTTTCATAGCCAGCCATATTAAAATGTAAAAAAGGATCGAATTTATATATAAAACACCCCGTATCTCCTGTGTTTGGAAAAATAACTATAGCATATGATATATTGCTGAAAAGCGAAAAAAATCTCTATTTTTTTAGGTTATGACCAGCTACGATTTCCATTTAAAAAAATATAACTTTGGGTCATAACTCCGGAATCTTAAGACCTACTAAAAATCTAATACCGGCATTCAATTCTACGCCAAAGAATTAGTCTTGAGCAGTTTTCACTTTAACTCGTTATTTAACGTTATTTAACAGCTGAGATACAAACATATTCAAAAGTGTCACAATAACGAGAAACGCCCTATAACTGAGAAACAAATGAAGATAGCAAATTTCTGATGTTACAATTGAGTTTGCCATGAAAATCGAGCACGAGAACGTGGTGTCAGATTTATCATATCTTTAGTAGTTTCTGAAATACCCTGAAATCCTACCGAAAATGGAGCAACCATTAAATTGGCCCTAACATTTTTGCTACCCTGTACATTGACGTTTCGTATTAGTGCATTTATTCCCCTATCAATTTTAAGCAAAAATGTACTATATATAGTTAAATATTAAAGGACCAAAAAAGTCCGTAAATTTAAAGTGATTTTCAAAAGACTGTAACTTAGCTAAAATGGTCGTAGAGCAACAACAAACAAACTAAATTGAGGCTTAAAGTTTTTAGTTTCACGATCTGAGTCATAAATTTGTATCGTTGATCAACTTTAAGGAATCATCCAGCGGAAAAAAAAATTCAGCAGTTTTGCTTCCTTTTCAAAGGGTCCACGGGTTTCAATACATTTTCTTAGCAATCCCATTTATCAATTTTTTTAGAATAATGTATCTGCTTTAATTTTAAGTGCTCAACTGCTGTATGTTAATTTGTCGCTGAATTCACAGGCCTCCACAACTCTAAAAATCGAGAAATAAGTCAATCTACTAAACAACATACGATTTCTCAAAGACGAAAAATGATATCAATATAAATCCAAGTGCGTTTTAAATAGTAAATATAGTACTTTAAAATCCCATTAAAAGTTTCAAAAAAATGTAAGAATGAAAATCCAAGCAGGGTTTTGAAACCTTCAAAAGTATCCTATTAGACGTTTTTATCAATTTTTGACAAAAAAAATATCGATGTAAGAAATCTGATTGACATAAATATTAAATAGAAAGTCCAGAGTGAATACAATTGTCAAATCTTATTTAATTGAAAGGTTACAGTACTATCTAATAATGGATCTCACTATATCAAATACTTAATCATAGCTGGAGTTCCCCAAGTATATATTCGAGGTCCCTTAGTTTTTCTATTTATTCATTGATGATTTAAGTTACCTTATACACTTAACACTTTTTTCGCTGACGATTTAAAAATATACTGCAATGTGAGCCAATATATGATTGCAAACTTTTGCAAACTTTTTTAAATATTGTCCTGATTTGGTGTAAAAAAACAAATTATACCTAAATGCATCGAAATGCAAAATAGTGAGTTAACTTTCCTACATGTAAACCTCAAAATTTCCAAAGCCATGAAAATTTATTCATTGCCATTATTTAACCATAAATTATTTATTAATTATATCTGTTTATATAATTTGTAACCAAAAACTCGAGTGCTGAAAGCAAATTATTCTGCGTCTCTGTTTCTAGCAATCAACTAGCTACACCATCTCCTAAAAAAGAAAGTTAATGTTCCTTTTAACCTTTTCCACCTGCATAATCCGTCAATTGTCAAAAAGCCAAAAA